ATTAAAATTATAAAAACAAATAGGTTCAGTAATAGTGTTTCATAGCAAAAATAATGCAAACACTGGACATTTATTTAGGCAGTAAAAATATGAAAGTTTATTGGCATGGTAGAAGAGAAGAAAACAATGATTTTTAAAAAGTGAAAGTTGGTGTTGATGGCTCAGGCCAGTAATTCTAGCAACTCAGGAGCTCAGATCTGAGGAGCATGAGTCAAAGACAGCCCAGGCAGGAAAGACCAAGAGACTCTGACCTCCAAGAGATAAGAGATTACCACCAGAAAACCAGAAGTAGAGTCGTGGCTCAAAGTGGTAGAGCATTAGCCTTAAGCAAAAGAGCTCAGGGAAAGTGCCTATGCACTGAGTTCAAGCTCCAAGACAAAAATATATAAATAAATAAGTGATTGTCCATGGAACAGAACAATCACCAATAATAGAGATATATTATGAATCAAGAAATAGCATGAAAACAAAGGAGGAGGCTGCAATGCTTGATAAGAAATGTACTCATTATCTTGCCCATCTAATTGTAACCCCTCTGTACAGTATTTTCACAATAAAAAATAAATAAAAATTTTTAAAAAAGAAATAGCATGATTACAGGCATATTATTTAAGTATAGAGAGGTAAATATTTCAAGACAAACTAGGACTAGAAGATGGGGATAAGCTCTGGGGGTTGAACAGGGTTGGGATGAAGTACTATTTGACCTTTTCATAATAGGTAGCTTTATTATTTTGCTAGGAAAAATGAGCACTAAAAAGGATAGGCAGCATTTTTTTAAAATGTAAAACAAATAAATATGAATTTGACACAAATCAAAACTTCAAAAGGGACACTATAGCAGAAGTTGCAAGGAATTAGTAAAAGACAGACAAGGTATTATTGGAAAAATATGTACTAAAAAATATAGAAAATAAAATTGTAAAAAGAATAATGGAAAAGAGACTGTTGCACAAAAGATACCTAGTTTCAATAGTAGTGATGAAGAAGTCAATAGGTAGAGGCAAAAAACTGAGCCTAATGTAAACCACTGAAGGGTGCTGATTTTATTTAACTAAGCAGCCACAAAATTTCAGAAGTGAATGACTTCTGTAAAATACTACACTAGCTTCCTGAAGACTCCCCAGAAAAAGCACTTAACACTGAGATCTGTATTCTCTAATAACAAAAACTGAATTTTCAAATGTTGTAAATAAATAAGCCATACATCTGAAATGGAGTGTTTTTCCATTAGTAATAGCACTATCCAAATAAGCAAATCTCTTCCCTTGCCAACTTCCTATGACCTAAAATGTTTCCTAGGTTCCTCAAGGCAAATGGAAGAGAATTTTACACCCAATACATGACAATTATTTCAGTCTTTTTTATAAACATCAACTGGATGGCAACATCTAAAATATGTTCAGCTGAGCTTTGCCCTGTAGCTCACTTGTGAAATTATCTCTTCCTTGCTAATGGAAGAATGATGACATCATGTTGTTCTTAATTTCCCTGGAGAATACATGGCTGGAGATATTTTTTAATTGAAACCAAAATGATTCTGCTAGGGAGAAGCATGGAAAACAAAAATACCTAAGTTTTATTTTTTTTTTAAATTATAAAGCCATGTTTTTAAAACCTGGTTTTGAAAAGTATTTCAGCATATTTTCCTCGGAAGAAAACATTTTAAAGGTGATTTAGTTTCATCTAAAAATAGCATGTTGCTCAGTAGCAGAACACAGTGTCTAGCATGTACAAGACCCTGAGTTCCATCTCAAGCATCATGAAAATCAGTGGAACAATGTAATTTCTTTTATCAGTACTTTGAAACATCTGAGAGCCTTAAGCTGGAGAAGAAAGGTCAAGAATCAAACATTCATTTGAACATTGTGGTTGACACTAAGCTAGATGCTCTTTTTATTTTACATCATTTAATACTCTTCTTGTAGGGTATGGTGTACTTATGATTCTTTCCTTGTTATAGTTGAAGAAATTGAAGTTCAATATAGTTAACTATTGAAGGTAATGGAGTTCAACAGTATTAGGGTTTTTGTTGTTGTAGTTTGTTTCGTGCTTGTCCGGGGATTTGAACTCAGGGTTTGGGCACTATCCCTTAGCTTCTTTTTACTCAAGGCTAGTGCTCTACCACATGAGCCACAGTGCCTAACTCCTGACTTTTTCTGAGTAGTTTGTTGGAGATAAGAGTCTCACAGGCTTTTCTGCCCAGGCTAGCTGCTGAACTGTGATCCTCGAATCTTAGCCTCCTGAGTAGCTATGATTACAGATGTGAGCCACTGACTTGGAATTAGGCTTTATCACTTCAGGTAACTGAAGTGAAAACTTGTATCATTTTCACTTTACCTTACTACCATCAGATTACAACTTTAAACACAAAATTTTAAAAATGGACCAGACCTTAGTTTTAAAAGAGCCTAACTTACACAAGAAAGGAGAATGAGTACAGTCAAAATACTTTAGATACATATGTAAAAATTTAACAATGAAATTTTTTGACATTGGTTTGGGAAGCGGAGGGTGGGGGGTCAGGGATAGTGATGGAGAAAGGGAGTCTGATCAAGATACATTATGCATATATGGGCATGTCAAAGTAAAACTCCTTGTACAATTAATTAGTACTAGTACCATTACATATATAAGTATGCATGCAGGCAAAATAGGTCTTTCTGCACTGCCCTTTAAAGAGATTCTTCCATCCAGCTGTTACAAGAACAGGAAACATTTGAAATCAACAAGAAGCCTAGGTTAGAGAACTTTCCCTTTCCACTCCTTTGTCCGTGTGTCCTTTGTCCATCAACATTACCCTCATCAAATACTAAAAGCAGAAAATTGTTTCTAAACAGAAATTCTCCAGCCTAAATGCTTACTAAAGCTAATCAAAGCTACTGGAAATTTTAAACTTAGTGTGAACAACAAAACAGAAGGTGCCCATTTTCTAAGTAAATAATAATTTTGTCTAGATGTACTGAGCTTGTCAAACGATATCATAACATTATTGTTGATGCTGGACAAAATTCTTAATCCTGTTATATTGTTCACATCTCTGATCATTGTCCATCATACTATTGCTAAAGTTTATATTCTAGTCTACACTTCTTCAGGTTGTAGTCCTTATAGTTTATGTAAGACTTACCATGTATTTTTTTAGTCTTTACAACAACCCTGTTAGGTAGGTATTACTACCCAAATTTTATGAATGAAAACGTTGCAGACACACTTAGTATTATTAAAATCAATAGCTTAAAAGGAATAAAGCAAAAATGAAACCCAGAGCTTATTCTGAAGTTAAGCTTTCTATTATGTCACCAATGCCTCTCTTCTGTGATATTCTTCTTAATTTGTGTATAAATGTGGCTCTACCAGGTACTGTAGTATCCATGTAAACTATTGCAGGTAACTTATGATTAATCATTCTTATTTTACCTGGCACAAAGCTGTTCCAGTTAACCTTCTAAAGTGTACCTATGTGCATTTTCCCACTCAGTAGCCTACTAATGACAGCCTAAAACATTTTAATTAATCACTTAAACATTTCAAGCATTATGACCTAATCTTAATGAATCATGCTAAAACTGTATCTTAATATTTCTCTATCATCTTCCTTTCCATACAAATCAAACCACTCAATGTGTACTTTTCAAAATCTATTATTTTGTTCATATAATTTCTTCTCCCTTGGATATTATCTTCATGAAATGGAAATGAATGGAAACTCTGCCCATTTTTCAGAGTACAGGTCATTTCCCACCTCCAGGACAAATCTTTTGTTTCCCAGATGAAATTACGTTTCTCTTTGGTTTCCAATGCATGTTGTTCATTCCTCTTTTGTGACAGACAACAAGATAACATTTTGTGTTGTTATTTTATTTTATATAGTTGTCACACTTTCTTCAGTACAGGAGAAATTAAGGCAAAGCAAAACTAAGGATTTGATTGAGATGCATGAAATTGTTCATAACATTTACAACAATTTCAAGTGATTTAATGTAATGAAATGGTTCTTCATAATCATCATTAATCCATTTATGTAAGAAATTCAACACCCTCTGGGCTGAATTTTAAAGCTATTTCAGAGCCAAGTATTTCCATTGTAGAGTATCAAAGGAAAAACAACTTCAAACTTTTTGTTATATTGAAAAAGCAAAATTTGAAGAATTATGTTTGAAAAAGAATGGGTTTTTAAGTCATTTATACTACCTTTTGGCCAATATAACCAAAATGTATATTTCAAATTTTTAGTCCGTATAATCTCATATATACCTAATACACAATAATCCAAATTCTTATACTGGCAAATCTCTTTCCTAACTTTTTCTTATTATTTTATTTTGCCTTCTAGAGTTGCTTATGTAAGAGGTTAATTTTAGATCATGAAAAACGCAAATGATGTCTAATTTTCCATTATTCTTGTAGAACAATAATTGCTAGTTTTACCAAAAAAGTCTTTTTTTCTGTTAACACTTGTACAACAGATGTTTATAAAGTTCCAAAGTCTTCATAAGACTGAGTAACTGAAGATTGTATCTGATTTCTCCTTGGCAACTAAGTTTTAGTTTCTATTTTGTTGTAGTATACAATAAAATATAAACACATTCTGACTTGAGTTAGTCTATTCTTAAAGAAGACATATAGGAAATAATTACTACCATGTGAAATATGACCATTAAAATTACCTCAGCATCATTTCTAACTCATTGTTCATTTCAATATAATACTTTATGAAATTAACATTATACAACTGTCAGGCTTATTTTAGAACTGAGAATCAGTTAGAAATTAGGCATTCATTAATCAAGTCATCATTTCTTAGATTTATAATATTAATGAATTGGAATTGTTCTGTCATTTGAAAAAGTGGAATAATTTTGAATTTTATAACAAAATACAGATACCATTGTTACAAATTCTCAGTGTTTTGGTGCAAAGTTAATGTGAGTGGAATACGTGAATGGTGGTGTGGGAAGTGTTCAATAAGGTGTTCTGAATCATGTGATCAGTCTTACCTGCTCATGGATCTGGTTTGCTCCACTATGACACAGTTCACTTCCAATGGCTGTTGAAATTGAATCACTTCCTGTAATGCTTTGGATTTGCTGACCACAGTGAGATTGTTGACAGTGGGGAGAGTGGATGATCTGAGGCTGCTGGACAATGTGATGATGGCATTGAACTTGAGGATAGCATTCCTAAAACACATACATGTGTCAAAAATAGCCACTGAGAATAAAAACTAATCAAGGAAAAACACACAAAAAACATTTCAAAATGTTAAGGTGTTCTTTCCCACAATAATTCAGACTTCAGAATGTCAAGTTTTAATCAATATATTTTTATTATTTTTTAATTATCCCATTGGGATAATTTTTATCAGGTAGTTGTGACCAATCACTACTAATCTAGCTAGGACAGAGAATTAAATGCTCTGATTAAATTACTATTCCAGTTATACTTAACACTAATGCTAAAAGTATCCAGAATATTAACATTAATTAATGTTTCTATAATGATTCAACAGGCATTTCAATGGCTAATCATGTAACAATACTATAATAGTGAAGCTGTAGACATAAAATGAGAAAATAATATACTGCAGTGATTTTCAATGTCAGGAAGCATATTAACATAGCAATGGGGGGATTTTATGCTTATGAAAATTAAGCACAGATTTTAAGAAAAAGTCTAAAATGACTGACTGGTGCTTCGGATTCTGAAAACATGGATCTGACCATTTCTACCACTTATTCTTACACTATACCCCTGTGAAAACACACACACACACACACACACACACACACACACACACACACACACACACACACACACACACACACACACACACACACCAGTTTCCTCATTTGCAATTAGATACTGTGTGGATATCATTGGGTTGCAGAAAAAAATAAATGAACAAATGTCTGTAAATTATACAATATAAAATAGGTGAGAAATAATTCTATTATTATTACTACTACTATTATCAGCATTATCAACTTAATCTTCTCGTATCTCATTAATTTTTGAAAACAGGAAAAAAAACTCTTCAGGTCTAGCAAAGCAAAATGATTTCCCTATGACAGAGGCAATTAATTATGAAATTGGGACCTGAGCTCATTATTTCTACCTCAAAGTTCTTTTGAAATTTGAGATTTCATACTCCCTTTGTAAAAGTCTGGAATTTGTTGTCATTTGAACTAAATGATATCTTCTTTATCATATGTAATAGTTTTATTCTGACAAGCATAGAGCACAAACTAAAGAAACATACCTGGTTATTTCAATTCTCAGGGCTACAAATGCACTTGAATTTCTATAGTATGTTGCATTATTCTGCTTTGATAAGGGACATCTAGAAACCTGCTTTCATAGAATAAATACTCTATTTTGAGTTATCATGCTGCATTCATGCACATAAAGTTAACTTTGAAAGTATAGATACAATGCTTTATTTCCTTTTGATTAGGGAATGTTGACCTATATTAAATAGTAAAATATTTCTATTTTAAATTTTTAAGCCATGTCAGAAACAAAGTGCAAAAGAATGAATACCATATACTCTCCCTAGTATAACTTGTATAATAACATGCATTTATAATTTATTCATTCATTTACAATTATTGGATAACTGTTTTCATATGGATGAATTAATAAACTTCAAAGAGTGGCAACTTTTGTGGAGAGAAACTAGAGACAAGAAGCCTCAGATAAAGAAGCTTGTATACCTTTTTATATTCTTTTTGCTTTCTTTTTTTTTCTTTTTGGTCATGGGACCTGAACTCTGGGCCTGGGTGCTCTCCCTCAGCTCTTCATCACAAAGCTAGTGCACTACCATTTGAACCACAGCTCCACTTCTGGATTTTTCTGCTTATGTGGTGCTGAGGAATCTAACCCAGGGCCACATGCATGCAAGGCAAGTACTGTACCACTGAGCCAACTTTCCAGCCCCTTTTTGCTTTCTTATGCTCTTTTCATACCCTGACAATTTTTTACTATACTTGAAAATTACTTTTAATTTATACAAAATGTTTTTAAAAATAGAGAAAGATCTAAATAGCCATACTGTACAAACAGAAGTTGGCTTGGTAGACACATAAAAGTAAGGTAATCACTATTTATAATTATTTCTTCAAGATTTTTTAAAATATGACACACTTTCTAATATGTCTCCAGTGTTAGTAAATAGATGATATCAACATTTTTTATAAATTTTGGGAGAAAAGGCACTGTTTTTGTTTTTGATTTTTGTTTTGGTCTGTTGTGGGGCTTTAACTCTGGGCCTGAGTGGTGTCCCTGAGCTCTTCAGTTTAAGGCTAGAGCTCTACCACTTGAGCCACAGCACCACTTCTGATTTCTGGTGGTTAATTGGAGATAAGAGTCTCATGGATTTTCCTCCCTGGGCTGGCTTTGAACTACGATCCTCAGATCTCAGCCTTCTGAGTAGCTAGGATTACAGGCATGAGCCACTGGTGCCCGGCTATGCACTGTCCTTTTATGTTAAAAAAAATCTTTATTTAAGGGTTGGAGGTATGGCTCAGTTGGTAGAGCACGAGGCAATGAGTGAATACATAAGGTACTGAGGTCAAGTCTCAGTCTTGGACATAAAACAAAAGAAAAAAACTGGTCTTATGTATAAAGCTTGACCTCTTCTGCTTGTCCCAAACATATACTAGTTATTGCAAATAAGGGAAACCATAGGACCTATGTTTCTTTGGGCCTGGCTTACTTCACTTAATATAATTTTTTCCAAGTCTTCATTTCCTAACAAATGTCATTTTTTCTGATCTAAGTATAGAATTCCAGTGTGTGTGTGTGTGTGTGTGTGTGTGTGTGTGTGTGTGTGTGTGTGTGTACACACACACCACATTTTCTTGATCCATTCATCTACTGAGGGACATCTGGGTTGGTTCCATATCTTACTTATGGTAAATAATGCTGCGATGAACATGGTTGTGCTGGTAGCTTTAGTAAAGCCTTGTTTGTGATGGTTTGGATAAATGTCCAAAAGTGCGATTGCTGGGTCATAGGGGAGTTCTATGTGTAGTCTTTTGAGGAGCCTCTATACTGCTTTCCAAAGTGGTTGAACAAGTTCACACTCCCATGCACATATGACTATATGAGATATGTTAAGGGAAATGAACCGCAAGATAGGAACACAAGTGGTTTTTTTCTTGCTTGCTATTGTTTTTAAGGTATTTATAATGCACTATGTGATTTTATTTGTTTCTTTTGTATGTTCTTCCCCCATGGTAAAACCCGTTTCCATTGTATTTGATTCCAGTGCCCTGCATCATGTATATACATTTTTCTAATTTGGGGAGGGGAAGGGAAAGAACAAAATGTTTAAATAAGGATACAGGTTGACCCATTGTAACAATGAGATGTACAAGACACTATGTTGAAAACGAACTTTACAAATTGCGGGGGGGGGGGGGGGGGGGGGAGGTGTTGAGGAAGTGGAGAGAGAAGGGATAGAAGGGGAAAACAAAGGAAAAGGTAACAATGCTGATTGGAAATGTACTTATTACCTTACTCATGTAACTGTAACCCCTCCGTACAGTATTTTTACAATAAAAACATATTTTAAAAAAGAAAAAATCTTCAAGTAATAATTTAGAATAAAATCCCATTGACAGTCTAAGAGACCAGGCTGTCACTCAGTGCCTACTGGCAACTCTAATGAAACAGAATCTCTCCTGAAGGAAAAAAAAATGTACCTCTGACACTTAGGACATATCAACAAAAGGCAATATTTAAGAAAACAAAACTCCTTTTTTATCTGTTTTTCTAGGAAGTCAGTTGGTTTGGTTGTTGTATGTTTAATTCTGGGGATTGACTTCAGGGCATGATCTGTACCCCCAGCTTTTTTGCTTTTTTTGTTTTTCAGGTAGGGTACCATGCTAATATTGCCCTTCCTGACATCCTCTTACTTCTATTTCTCATATACCTGGATTGCATGCACATGCCATAATACCTGGATGTTTTTGAGATAAGATCTCACTAAATTTTGCCTAAGCTGACCTTGAACCTCAAACCTCCTGTTTCCATATCCAAGTATCAGCGTTATACATGTGCTCCTTTCAGCTGAAATCTTAGCAGATCTTCAGTTTTTTCGTTGCTTGTATGTGTGTGTGTGTGTGTGTGTGTGTGTGTGTGTGTGTGTGTGGTGTGGTGTGCTTGGGAGCCCTGGACCTTACACATAGTAGACAAGTGCTCTGCCACTGAACTATACCCACACACCCAGTTTTCAATTCTCATGCCCGACTACCATAGTACCTACTCTAAAGAAAAATATTCACAAGTTAATCATATATTTGAGGCATCATAAATAAGTATTCAAGGTAAAAAAATATCAAATGGTTATTACTTATCATGGATTTTTGCTCTTTGATGGAGAAAAAGAATGCCACAGCTAGGAGCTGATGGTTCATGCCTGTAAAATTTGCTACTCAGAAGGCTGAGGTCTGATGATAGCGGTTCAAAACGAGCCAGGACAGGAAAGTCTGTGTGACTCTTATCTCCAATTAGCCACCAGAAAACCAAAAGTGGCGCTGTGGCTTAAATTGGTAGAGCACTAGCCTTGAACAAACTGCTCAAGGACAGCACCCGACTACAACTGACTAAAATAAAAAAAGAATTAGAGTATAAATTATATGGATTGATTATTTTGCAACTGTCTCTACCTCATCACCCTTCCATTACAATGGCCTCTTTTTTTCTTGGACAGGTCTCATCTCCTAAGAGCTAGTCTGATCTGATTTTTGTCACAAGTAACAGTAAATCCTCTGGCTTATTCTAGGGTATCTTTCTTAAGAAAAGTGTTTTTTCAACCAAAGTAGTTTACTTCCTTTCGTTAATCTTGTGAGAATTGTTTTTCTGAAAAGCTCTTGCTTTGGCCAGGTAGCTTGGCCTTTGTTAATTACATTTTAGTTACATCCTTTTCCTGGTGCACTGTAAGGCATCCTGTTAGATGCTCCTTGGATTTTAGTTACATCCTGTTAATTAAGCCACATCCTTCTGCAGATTATGAACCTGTTCTCAGCCAAAGCCATCAGAATGGTAGAGCCTGCTGGGTTAGGGATAAAAAGAGAGCCCCATGCCTGCCATGTGTGCTTGCTTGCCAGATATTTGGCTGAGGGAGTATCCTTCAACAGAAGTAAACTTTGGTTTGCTGAGTTCCTTTAAGTTGGTGTCCTTATTCTCATGCGACACCCGGGCATCCCAAGCCATTTCTGACACTTCCATTCCTGAGGAAATTATGTAGAGCAGAGTTTATAGCTACTTCCATCTTCATGGTTCCTTTTACTCTGAAAGAGTTTTCAAAGCAGTTCTACACCTCCTAAGTCTTTTTAATTCAGAAATAAGAAAAGGCAGACCAAATCAAACCAATATTGAAGTTAAGAGTAAGCAGAACTCTAATTGTTGCAGCTGCATAGGTGATAATATAATGCACAGGAGAATCAATGTTTCATTTTAGAACCCATCAATTAGAGCAGCTGTCTATTCTGTTGAAAACAAGAAGCTGGGAGAATCATCAAATACCCTTTCTATTTAATATGTGCAAAGCTTACTATTAGGACAGCCAAGTTGGAAAAAATGACAGCGGTTATAATTTGGTATCTTTAGTGAAATGAACTTTGGAAAATAAGTTATATTTGGTGAAATTTTTTGAATTGTATTATAATGTCCAGAAGTAGGCTGCTACTCTTATGCAACATGAATGTTTTAATACATACCAAATCAAACCCTTCAGTCTGTATTTAACTTTCCAAACAACCCAAAATTTGAACACTTTAATGTTTGTGATTCTTAGAGTTTACCAAATTTTATTTCTGCTAGGCAGAAAGAAGCAATAATGTGTTTATTCGTAAGAATCTGGTAACAATTAGCCATATGTATGTATAAAAATAAAATTCAGCCTGGCACTGGTGGCTCACACCTGTAATCCTAGCTACTCAGGAGGCTTACATCTGAGGATCAAGGTTCAAAGCCAGCCCAGGCAGGAAAGTCCGTAAGACTCTTATCTCCAATAAACCACCAGAAAACTGGAAGTGGCGTTGTGGCTCAGGTGGTAGAGGGCTAGCCTTGAGCTGAAGAGCTGAGGGACAGCACCTAAGCCCAGAGGTCTAGCCCCATTACTGACAAAAATAAAATAAAATAAAATAAAAATAAAACAAAATTCAAGTTGGGTGCTAGTGACTCATGCCTGAAATCTTAGCTATTCAGGAGGCTGAGTTCTGAGGATGTTGGTTTGAGGCCAACCAGGGCAGGAAAGTACATGAGACCCTTATCTCCAATTAACTTACAAAAAGCTGGAAGCAGAGGTGAGGCTCAAGTGGTAGCATGCTAGCCTTGAGCAAAAAATGCATAGGGACAGAGCTCAGGCCCTGAGTTCAAGCCCCAGAACTGGTACAATAAGCAATGAATGAATAAATAAATACATAAATAAATTAGTTCTTATGCCAAGAAGTAACCTTAAATCAGTTGTTTATTTAATTTGTATATGAGAAAATGACTTTACTATCCAAACTGATTGGCATTATGTAATTGTAATCATGTGTTAAATTATCTTCTCAAAAATAACATTGAGATTAGAACCTCCAGTAATTCAGAAAGATGTAATAAATTTAAAAAATGAAGTCACTAGGAAAAGCACTAATTCCATATGACTGATGTCAGTGGCTCATGCTTGTAATCCTAGCAACTCTGGAGGCTGAGATCTGAGGATTGCAGTTCTGAACCAGCCTGGACAAGAAAGTTTGCAGACAATGATCTCCAGTTAATTACAAAAAGGAGGGGGAGGGGGAGGAGGAAAGGAAGGAGAGGAGGAGGAGCCGCAAGGGGAGGAGGAGGAGGAAGGGGAGGAGGAGGAGGAGGCAGCATAGTGGCCAGAAATGGAGCTGTGGCTCAAGTGGTAGAGCATTGGCCCTGAGCAAAAAAGCAGCTCAGGGATAGGATAGCACCCAGGCCCTGAGTTTAAGCTCCAGGACCATCAAAATGAGGGAGGCAGTTGGATATACACAGAAGGATGGCAATGTGAAGACCCATATGAGGGATGTTTTGTGAAAACAAGGGAATAGCCAAGGAAGCCTGAGGCTAGCAGAAGCTAGGAGACAAGTATAGAATGTATTTCCCCGCTGGGGGATTCAGAAGGATTGTGATCCTAATACACCGTGATTTCAGATTTCTAGCTTCCAAAACTGAGATGATGAATTTGTGTTGTTTTAAACCATCCACTTTAGAACTGGGGATGTATCTGCTGGGTTCCATCTCCAGCACTACACACACACACACACACACACACACACACACACACACACACACACACACGCATGCACAAAAAAAGAAAGAAAGATCCAGTTTATGAGAAAATATGATGCATTGCTTTAGCTCAAAAATGTTCAAGAGCCAGGATCCAATGGGTCACACTCGTAATCTTAGTTTCTTAAGAGATTAAGATCTGAGGATTGAGATTCAGTGCTAGCCTGGTCAGGAAAGTGTGTAAGACTCTTATTGCCAATCAACTACCAAAAAGTAGGAAGTTGTAGAACAGCAGCCTTGAGAACAAAAAAGCTCAAGGACAGTACTCAGGCCCTGAGTTCAAGCCCAGGACTGGCATAAAAAATGTTCAAGAGACAATCTAAGCTTCAGCTAGATGCACATATTTGTATCCAGGGAGAAGAGCAATATACAGTAAAAATTACATAAAGAACATTCAATGACCATGGTCCTGATGCAGTTTTTGTACTATATGCTTCATCTCTCAATTAAGGTTAATGACATTTTTAAAACGTGATTCAAAAATTTCATCTTCTTGGGATGGGAACATGGTTTAGTAGTAGAGTGCTTGCCTAGCATGCACTAAGCCCTGGGTTTAATTCCTCAGTATCACATACTCAGAAAAAGCTGCAAGTGGCGCTGTGGCTCAAGTGGCAGAGTGCTAGCCTTGAGCAAAAGAAGCTCAAGGACAGTGCCTAGGACCTGAGTTCAAGCCCAGGACTGGCTAAAACAAACAACAAAAATTTAGTCTTCTTTATCTTTTATAGTACAACATTTTACTTATCTGTGTGTGTGTGTATACTTATCTGTATATGTACATATAGACATATATAATTATCTGTATATATGCATATCACTCCTTTAAGATTTATCTTAATTTTTGTAAAAGAAACTGAACAAATTATTACTATTGCAGGAATAGTTTCAAAGGAAAGATATAAGGCATGGAGCTATCTATATTAAATCCAGATTCTGCCATTCAGTTTCTATGTGACTTCACATAGAAACTTGTTACCCATACAGTGAAACAGGAACTATAACATTTTATATGATAACATAAATATGAAAGTGTTAAAGGCAATAAAAGCTATAGAAATCATGCCATTATCATTCATAGGGGTCTTGCCTAGTACTTGACAACTGAAGAACCTTTGAGTTCTACTAAAATATTCATAATCCAAAATTTTACACATATGCAACACATTTACAAACAGATATTACTTACTTGATCCATATTCAACTTCTCCACCTTTCTTATTGTTTTCTCATAAATAACATTGTTGCCTGGGAAGAAATTGCTTCCTCTTAGAAATGGAGACAGTGGTTCCTGTAAGACAGTAAAGAGCACATTTTACTTTGAGGAGCATTAACTCAAGTTAATATCCCATCTTTAATACACTCTGAAGTAGTAGCTGATTTTAGGAGAAAAGTGGAATAATCCTACACTAAGCTTGGCAGTTATAAAAAATAATAATTAAAGTAGTCCATTTTATATAAAAATCTCCTATTACTTCTTATTGGGGTTTTTGGAGGTAGGCAAGATAACATTTTTGTTCTGTTATTAATAAGTTTCATCTAAGATAGACAAGCATGAGGTCAACATCATTTAAATTGGGTTCTCTGACAGGTTTCTTTCTATACAAAAGTATCATCAGAGAAATGCAAAACAAAGATAACTAAGCACTATTAAGCCATAAAGTAGATTAAAGTATATTAAAGGTTTTCCTTTTTTTAGAACTTTATTGTCCTTGACGTATACAATTCATACCTATGATCATAATCAAGAATATGGCTCAGTACAACATATGTTTTGAATGCTGAGAACAGACTAGAAGTTGTAAGTACAACTGTATCTCCATATAATCAACTAAATTACTGTAGAATTAACCAAGTACTTAGAAGATCTCAGCCAATGAAATGAAGGCTAAAGACATATTCAAGATCTGAATGAAATCAGAGAATGTCTAATGAGAATCAATCCAAGAGGCTAAAATAAATGTAATGAGAATTTATTTTCATCTCTTTTGGTTTTCATTTGTCTATTATGTAGTGAGGTCTGGGGTTGTTTGCCTATTAATGTGTCACAGAACAAAAGCTGATTCAATTTCTATTTTTTAATACATGAGAATTATATAGGAGCCAAAATGGCCAAGATTATTACCAAACAATGTTTTAGGAACATTTTTACAATTGACCAACAAAATATACTAGGATTTTTTATTGTCTGTTATTGTAAATACCCTTACTCCAAGTGAACTAAAATACTGGTTATTAAGAAGACATTCTGAAGGAAAAACTATATGCTTCTGGTAATCAAACTTGAACTAAAGTTTATTCATTATAAGTTTTGGTGAATGGTTTCTGGATACTGTGTTAAAACAAACAAAAGTGAATACATTTGACTGATTATGAACAGCTGAATCTGAGAATGAGATTTATTTAGAAAACTTCCCCTACAGTTTATTTGAGTTTGTTTTTATTTTAAAAAATCCTCCTTGTTGTTTATGTAAGATCAGGTAACATATGTTTGAGTGCTTAGTACACATACTGTATTTTGCTAAGTGCTATGAGGCATAGAAACATAAATCAGACCTACTATCAGGCACATTTAATGTTGATCAGTACTCATTAAACTATGGAAGACAGATTTTTTTGTAGTGTTTTCAAGATAAGAATGATATTTAGATTTTTTTAAGATTTGAAATATAAACAAAAGAGATTCAGAGGCCCTATGTGGCTAGTAAAGCCTAACATTTTTTATCATGTGGTCCTCTACAACAGAAATTTCACCAGTCCCTAGTGTGGATAATATATGCAAACAAACATCTGTAATACAAGGTAGAAAGTGGCAAGTTCTAATAACAGGATAAAGGAAAGACGTATAAGATGGCCTTCAGAGGAGGCAAACCTAAGTTCTATCAGGAAGTGCTCAGATAGGATACATGACTCATATGGCATTTGAAAGAATGCTAGGCCGAGTGCTGGTGGCTCATGCCTATAATACTAGCTACTCAGGAGGCTGAGATCTGAGGATCGAGGTTCAAAGCCAGCTGGGCAGGAAAGTCCGTGAGACTCTTATCTCCAATAAACCACTCAAAAAAACCGGAAGTGGCACTGTGGCTCAAGCAGTAGAGTGCTCGCCTTGAGTTGAAGAGTGCAGGGACAGCGCTCAGGCTGAGCTCAAGCCCCACGACCCACAAAAAAAAAAAAAAAAATAGAATGCTAATCTGTTCTTTTAATATAAAGACATGAAAAAATTATATTCCAAATAAAAGAAACAAAGAAATTCAAGGCTCACACTTGCACTCCCAGCTACATGGGAAGGAGAGATAGGAAGATCATGGTTGAAGGGCAATCGTAAACGGAAGTTCAAAGCCCTATTTGAAAAATAACTTAAAAAAAGGGTAGAGGTGTTGTTCAAGTAGTAGAGTTCTTGCCTGGCAAGCTGAGTCCAAGCCCTTGTGCCTCCAGAAAAAAAAAATCCAAGTCACCAAGTTTGGAAAAGTGTAAGAAATCATACCTGACAGATAAAAAATAGTTCTGTACACAGAAAGATTTTTAGGTATTTCAAAAAAGGGCATATCACCAGTGCCAGTGGCTCACACCTGTAATCTTAGCTACTCAGCTAGTCAGATCTGAGGACTGTGGTTAGAAGTTTGTGAGGCTCTTATCTCTAATCAATCACCAAAAAGCTGGAAGTGGAGTTGTGGCCAAAGTGGTAGCCTTGAGCAATAAAACTCAGAGACAGTGCCCAGACCTTGAGTTCAAGCCCCAGGACAGGCACAAAAAAGGCCCAATACATCAGGAAGATTAAAGGGGGAAAAAGTATGAGCGATCAGACTAGGTACGATATGATCTTAATAATCAAGAACAATGCATTTCAGAAATCACTCTAAGATCTTGAAATTGAGAGGCATGCTAGATAGACAATGCTACCAAAATCAGAAACTGAGGCATTGAGTTTATGTGCTTCGATGAATATTAAGTCTGATTCATATTATTCATATTATCTATAACGCATAGCAATCCCTTTAACATACATGACATTCACTGAAAATCAAAGAAAAAAAGTAACATAAAAGTCAAAAGGAGAGGGGCTGGGAAGGTGGCTCAGTGGTAGAATGCTTGTCTTGCATGCAAGAGGCCCTGGGTTCAATTCCTCAGCACCACATAAGCAGAAAAAGCCGGAAGTGGCCCTGTGCCTCAAGTGGTAGAGCGCTACCCTTGAGCTGAAGAGCTGAGGGACAGCTCCCAGGCCCAGAATTCAGGCACCACGACTGACAAAACCAACCAACAAATAAATAAATAATAAAAGAACAATAAGGAATTTTTAAAAAAAGGAAGTCAAAAGGAGAAATTTTCAGGAAGCAGTAAGAAGACAAATGTAAAATTAGTCTAGAGGCCAACAAGTAGTAATTACAAAGTGGATTGGATTTTGACTACTATAAATCCATTTAACTATTAAAACCAATGGAAGCATTTCTAGCAGAAAAAAGTTATGAAGTCATAAAAATGACCTAAAAACATTCTTCCTCCATTATCTATCACATATAGATGACTTATTTAGATAAGTCATTAACCTCCTCCTATGTTTACTTGGTTTATGCAAGGGATAGTAGTACAGGGTATCAAGTAAAATAGTGTATTTCCACTACTCTTAATCTTTAACTTTAATGTACAAGTGTCATCTTAATAATATAGTATTGACTTGAAAAAAACTAATGAACTGTTTAACAAATGAATACCAAGAAGCTGAAACAGTGAGAGGAAAGGCACACGCAAATGGAGAGAGAAAGAGTGAGCAAATGCAGTCCTTATATTTAATGTATATTATGTGAAACTTGAACTATATAACTTGGGAGTAAGAGATGGGAGAGGGATGAATAAGGGAAAAGGATGGAAGGGGTGGCATTGATCAAGGTTCACTATAGTCATAACATGACTTGTGGAACTGCAACCATCTTTGTACAAGTACCTGAAAATAACTTTGTTTTGAAAATAATATAGTATTGTAATACTAGTAGTATATGCTATATTGAAAATAACTTTTGAGAATGTTATTCTAGTGTTTCTAAGATACCTAGGTTTAAAATATATAAAAATAGGCTTATCTGAGGGAGGAGCTTTATCAATTTTGAATACACTATAGGAAATATGCCGATGATTGGGTGAGAAGGAATGAACTGAGCTGAGCCTTTAAGGATTTGAGTATCTTCTAATCTGTAGTAAAACAAATAGCACAAAAAGGAAAATGTCTTCTCCATGAAATAAAGTTCATTATAAATATTGCAGTACTGTAACTGGTTTTTGTTTGTTTTATGCTAGTCCTGAATATTGAACTCAGGACCTGGGCACAATCCCTAAGCTTTTGGCAAAATGCTAGTGCTTTACCACTTGAACCACAGCCCTCCATCTGGCTTTTTGTAGTTAATTGGAGACAAGAGATTCATGGGCTTTCCTGCCCAGGATGACACTGAACCACAATTCTCACATCTCAGCCTCCTGAGTAGCTAGAATTACATATGAAAGCTCCAGGCACCTGGCATGTCACTGTTTTTAACAAAAAAAGATGGTGTTTAAACATTAACAGTGTTAGTTCTTCTTAGAATATATTTTGGTTTTATTTGAAATGACATTTTTAAAAACCCTCCAAATTTAAAATATTATTATTTCACCCAGATCTGTAAAAAGGTAAAAATAAATACTAACATGAATAAATCATAGCAAAGGATCAGCAAAACAATGTTAATTAGAAGTTTTAGATTTGTCAACAAATGAGCAGCTAGGGAGTTTCACTCTTCTGGTAGCTTCTTTTGCTCAATCTGTGCATTTGATTCAGTGCCAAATCCACCCTAAAAATGAACAGGTATTTTCAAAATGACTGACCTTATCATTTTAATTGTTACTTTTAGAACCTCTGGCAGTATTTCTCACATGTAATGAAATATGTAATCCCTAAGATGTCCTTTTCTATTCCCAGGCCACACAGCTATGCTGTAGAGAAATTTTTTTTTTTAAAGAAAAAAGTTATGTTTCTTTCAAGTTCAAACTATCAGATTTCAGGTATACCTTCCATCCTTTGTGATCATCCTTGCATTCATCACTTTCTCAATAAAATTCTCTATAGCTGTGGTTACAAATCTGTTCATTTTCTCCAACCTTCTGTATTCATATTCCTCTCTGTCCTTTTACTTATGTAGAAAGATAATGTACTGAATGTGATACTTCTGTAGTTCTCAAAAGCTCAAATCTCTCTTCAGGTTTTAAACCTACCATCTCATTAAGAAGAATGACATGCTCTTGGTTTTGTCCCAAATTTACTTCTCTCTCTCTCTATATATATATATCTGGAATCCTATGCTCTCGTGTCTCTTTTCTCTGTTGCATCTTATTCTTTATTAGTAGTCTTTTCCTTCTATTTCCCATTTTCTAGGGTCTCCAACATTCTATTTTCTTCTCCAGCTACTGGCATATCTCTCCTTGCTTTGACTAACATACTTTTCAAAATACAAATACACTCACCCATTAACTTCTTGTATCTGGAGTTTGCCACCTCCATACTGAAACTGTTCTGTTTCAATTATCACAAACCTCATTTTCCCTAACCTGTTGGTCTGTTGAGCAAGTTAACATTTCCTTTCTGTTTGTTTCAATTACTCTGTTACACATGTTTCTCTGATAACTCCTTCTTTCTGTTCCATTAAAATAAATATTTCTCAAAATTCTGGTCTTAAGGCTCTCCATTATCCCACAGTGATCTCATTCAATCTTGTATCTTTGCTGATAATTTTAAGGGGACTAACACTCTTGTCTCTGTCTCAAATAAGACATTTCTCTAACACATTTTAACTATATATTTAGCATCATGTTTTTTATGCATCTTATATCATACTATTTTAAACAGATTTCACCATCTTGCCTTTTCCCAAACAAGCTTCTCCTCCCCATCTCTTCCTAATCTTTTTAATTGAGCCACAATTCTACCAGTGTCTCAGGGAAATATTAGGGTCATATTTGACTTTTTTTCTTTCAATCTCCATGTCCAATAACAACAAATCTTGTTACAGCTATCTCTGGAACAACTCTCAGAAAAGAGACAAGAATTTGAAAAGGCTTGAGAAAGTCACATTTTTTTAAATAGTTTCCTTATTAGGGAAGGATGCTCAAAAATGTTAAACATAACATTACATTAAATGTCGTGGCAATCTTTCCTTGATATCTCCCTTCCCCAAATAAATGTGTTATGCTCAATACTTGAATTCCAGTAAGACTTTTATATGTATATTTCTCATGGCATCTGTCATTCATCCCACCATGTACTTATATAACTATTTGTGGACATATCTTATCTCCTTTTCATTTCCCTAAGCGTTATTGATTTGGGAAACATATCTTATTTTCTTGTTTCAATCTGAAAGCTGTAGAATGTCCTCTCCATAGTAGGAGCTTCACAACTGTAAAATGGATGAAACTGACAAATATCAATTGATTCTATCCATCAATAGAGCAAAAATATCTTCTTCATTTGTGGATCAAGTAATCAACCAGAATACGCAATTCCTTTGACTAAAATCATGACATATAGAGAATAATGAAGATCAGGAAGAACCAAGAAAAAAGGGGCTGAAAAGGGTGAACAGAGATAGAAGGAAATCATAAAGAGAGAAGTACGATTGAAATAGGTTTACTTACAGGGAAGAAAAATAAAGATTAGACCAGGTGACAGAGGATAAAGTTCCCATTTAGGAGGCTCAGCTTATTATAAATATTGTAAATAAACTAGAAACTTCTCTGGGGTTAAGCGGGGAGAGAATTTAGAATACCAAACACAAAAGGAGTATATTTAGAAATAAAATAGGGGAATATATCTAGACAGAATTTTCAAGCTGCTTTGCAAATCAGTTCTATTATTTCTGTTCACAAACCATTAGACTTTAAATGTATTTTATTCCTAGTAAAAAGTTAAAGCTTTAAAATGAATCTTTTTCTTCAATTCTCTGCTGGGCTTCTGAGAAACTGTAGTTAATACAGTCTGTGTAAGAAGGAGTATTTACAGAGACAAGCTCTGTGTTTCTACTATGCACTATACTGCATTCATACTTCTATTTTTCCTACCTTCGTGAGTACATAGTGGGGAAGAGGATACATGGTAAGTCTGTGGGGACTAATTCATCTACATGATCCACTGTTTTTAATTTGCTCTCCAGTTTCCTAGCTCTTGTCAATTTTAGTTCAAAGTTTTGTCACTTGGAAATATTTTTGCAAGAGTTAAGAACTTAATCCAGGAGCTGGTGCCTCAAGCCTGTATTCCTAGCTAATTTGGAGGCTGAGATCTGAGAATCACAGTTTAAAGGCCTGGGCAGGAAAGTCTGTGAGAGTCTTCAATTAACCACCAGAAAACTGGAAGTGGCACTATGGCTCAAGTAATAGAGTGCCAGCCTTGAGCAAAAGAGCTCAGGGACAGCACCAAGTTCAAGCTCCATGACAGAAAAAAAAAAAAAAAGAACTTAAGTTTCAAGAAGTTTGAGATCTTAGGTTTCTTCACTGTTCTATTCCAAGCTCTTAGGGCAATTTCTGGTACATAGTAAGCGGTTAATAAATACTCCCTGGATAAATAACTACTTTATCAGCTTCTGTAGCCTCACCTTTTTTACGATTAAGTAGAATACACCATATAGGCTGTCAAGCTTGGAGTATATATACAATATATATTAAATTTTCATTGTCTCATTAATTAATAAATACAGATTCACACAAAAATCACATTAAAGCACTGATTTATTAGAGCCCAAATGATATTTCAATCTCTGGGTAGATACAAGGCAAATGGAACAATTCTTAACACAGTAAAAAAGTGTTCCCTGCAATTTACTCCTTGAAAGTCAGAGGAACCATATGTTACCATAAGTATATTTCCCAATTAATGTATGAGAGAAAGCAAAAAAAAAAGAAAATAAAGATGAAGGAAGTGTAAAGTCCATTTGATCAAATGAAAAAAACTATACTTTAGTTGGACATGATGTGTGACTATGATATTAGCTACTACAGAGGCTAAGGAAAGTGGTTCACTTGAGCCCAGTAGCATAGTAAGTCTTAGCAGTATAGCAAGACTCCCTTCTTAAAAATATGGAGGGAAGGGACACACATATGTATGCACACATACACACACACACACACACACACACACACACACACACACACACACAGATTCTTTAACCTCCTTTGTGGCTTAAGTATTTGCTTCTGCTAAAGAAAAAGCAGGCAACTGCTTTTGCTATAAGCACATCAAATTTCATTGCTTGCACAAATTGATAACTCAAGCAAATGTCCAAAGCAATCATCTACCTGTTCCAATCCTGGACATATATAACAGTAGAGAAATATAGAGCAAAGCCAAGAATGCCATGTCCCTATCTAGAACACATTCTTTTTGTGAAACTGATACCCTTAGAACCTCATAGAATTCCTGTTGCATCTAAAGTTGTGTGTGTGTGTGTGTGTGTGTGTGTGTGTGTGTGTGTGTGTGTGTGTGTGTGTGTGTACATGTGTGCACTTGTACGTATCCACTACTGTGGGAAAAAAAGTTTTCCTAATTTTCTCCTCAAAATGAGACCGGAAATAATATCCTACTTTGTGAATGGGGGGGTTATATATCTTAGGAAGTAAAATAATAATGTCATTCTCTAAATAATTCATTTCTAGTATGTCTGTTCACAAACACCATAGACAATAAAAACATGACAACCATTTTGAATTTTTGCCCTTTAATTTACTACTTTCTAGCCCATATCTCAAAGGCAAATCTAAATGGGCTAAAATCTCCACCTCTTGATATAACAGTTGATAAAGTTTTTATGAGTGCTCTTTGAAAGAACTTTGTCCCTTTTCTCTTTGGTTCAAAGTACATAAATATCCTTGTAGTACAAGGGTGGGGTTAAAGAAATAAAAAAGTGTTTATGACCCTAGAATTTTCCAAGCTGTTTGAACTGTTCCATCTCTGAATCAGAATGTACAAGAGGAGGGTTATTTGAAACTATATAGATGACATATTAGTTGCTAATGATTAGAAATTTACCTTATAACTAAAAGGAAGTCCAATAATATAATTTTAAAGATCTGATAACTGATTCACCCCTGTAATATGAGCTGTCAATTTGCAAGGAAATGCATGCTGTTTGAAAGTTTTTGTGAGATCTTACCTGTTCAGGATTTTGTACTATGTATCTTCTAATAGTGGTCTGTGGGTATGTGGTAACTTTCACTGTTGGAGAATGGAGTTCCTGTGAAGAAAATATTTAAAAGATATCTGTAATTATAGTTATTTAGTGACTGGGTGACAATAATAATGACAGGAAGCCATTTTCAGTGTAAAAGAAAGTCATTTCATGATGTTACATGGTCTTACAATCTAACACATTTTTCTTGAAAAAAAAATACTATGAAAAGGTGTTGTATGGTCAACACTGTGGTAAGTACCTGTGTTATAGTCATTTTGTGGTATACTGTCACCATGCTTTCTTTTTTCACATTTTATTATGATTTTTTATACATTCTCTTTCTTTGTACTTTGCAAGTAAAATAATGCACATGAACCAACACTTTATTGTAAGTTCCATGATAGAACTATCCAGAAATTGCTTGGCACAAAAGACCCAGTTATTCAATAAGACATTAGAAAAATAAGGTAGTTTTAGTCTTCCTTAAACCATAAAAACATTAGGATTTCCAATACTTCACCCTTCTTTGTATTTATTTACTGGAAATATACTTTTGACAAAAAATTCTAAAACAATACTAAAATAAAACAAAGTGCCAGTGGCGCATGCCTGCAATCCTAGCTCCTCCAGGAGCTGAGATCTCCAATTAACCACAAGAAACAAGAAGTGGAGCTGTGACTCTTGTTAAAACACTAGCCTGAACACAAAAGCTCAGGAACATGTCCAGCCTGAGTTCAAGCCCCAGGATCAAGACACATAAAAATAGATAGCTAGATAGATAAATAGATAGATAGATAGATAGATAGATAGATAGATAGATAGATAGATAGATAGATAGATAGATAATAGAACAGAGGACTGAATTTTAACCATTTACTTTTCCTTTACTTTGTTTTATGTCTAATGTATATTTGTTGCACTCTTCTTAACCTACTAGGATGTGAGCAGAATTTCCACTGTTTGGGGGCACTTTACTATAACCATACCATTATGCTAATGCACCTTGCATTTTGAAGCTTATTTAAGTCCAGTCCCTAAATTTGCCTCTAGAAATCCCATTTACATCCCTGCTCCTACTCAGAATTTTGGAATTTGAGATTCTAGCAAGGTGCTCTATCACTATATAACATCTGACTTAAGATAGGCATTGCAAAATTCCCTCTCTCTTCCATTTTCCTAAGTCCATTTCTTTATGAAATCTCTTAGAAGAAATCTTACAGAAAGTGATTGAGCTTAGGTCATATTTTTATTATACAAGTACCATATCAAAACTGCTAATATCATTTACAGCTTGAGTCTCTTTCCTCCTCTGCTTTTCTTAGAAACAATGGATCTCCACTGCATAATCAATCACACCCATGGCAAGGGTGGTGGTTAGCTACAAGTTGTCACTATAGCAACAGTGATGGGCAATAACTTGGTGTTCTCCAAGGAGTATGCCATATGGAGTGGATTCCATGCTAGACCATGAGCTTATATATCTCCAGCTTCTCCTTTGGCCAACTGGTGTCCTTCAAAGGGAAGGCTTTGTTCCTGCTACTATCCCAGGGTAGCAGCCTATAGTAGAGGCTCAAATCATTGATTACCTTATGCATTTATCTTTTGCTGTTTTTTTCATTTTATGACTGAATAATACTCCATTATATATGTATACTACCTATCTTTTATCTATTCATCAGTTAAGGAGCATATAAGCTGATACAATATTTTGGCTTTTATGAATAGTGTTACTATAAATACAGTTGTTCAGGTATCTCTATTTTGTAAAGACTTACATCCTTTTGGGTAGATGCCCAGGAGTGGTATAGCAAGGTCATATAGTAAAAATAATCTTGAATCCTGAATAATTCAATTTTATATGCATAGAGTTCATCACACATAAAGCTAAGAGAGAAAATTTAAAAAACTGTAAATCTGGTGTGATCTTAAATGTGTGTGTGAATAAAGGGAAACACAAAGCGTTAAGTGTAGTAGCTTTGGGTAAGGTAGAGATTTGTGAGTGATTTTGGTTAACATATTGTTTTATAGTTTTAAATTTTCTACAATAAATACATATTTTTATTACCAGAAATAAAACTCATAGTGAACTCAATTGAAAGCCTTTCATTAGGAAAAAATAGCAGTTGATGCAATTGTCTAGCTGGATTTGAACAGAATGAACCCTGAGGTATATGAACTTATTTTTCTGAGGCAATTCTACCTTGATGGCCCTGCAGGGCTCCATTTCTAAGTTGAGTGCAGCATTTATTTCACCACCCTATGGTTTTGTTACCTAAGTTATAAATGCTGTTCTGGTCTGAGTGCTTTTTGAGAATACTGACTGAGTCTTATTTTTCTATGTCTAACATTGGCACAGATTTGGCACTCAACAAACAGTTGCTTCAGTGAATGCTCGATTTTATTTGATCTAGTTGTAGTGTAAGTCAAATTGTGAAAAGGTAGGAAAACTTCTCTTTGATAATCTTCTAATTCATTCTGAATAATATCACATTTCCCTACTATGCTCAAGTTCTAGAAACCAGTTTTTCCCACGTGTTTCCACCCTATTCATTTTCACACCCTGGAACTTCATCTGGGTGCAACTATTTTCTAAAAATAGCACTTCCCTCCCTCTGATCTTCTAAATTCCACACTCCAGTACTCTCCTCTCACATAACTAAAAACCATGCATTTTATCTTTGTTTTGTTAGAATTTAGTGTTTGAAATATAGAAACTAATTAAACACATATTTATTAATAACATATTAGTAACACTAATAGTATATTATGTATATATATATATATATATATATATATATATATATTTGGACATCATGCTTAGGTTAAAAAATAAGGCATGGCAGGCACAAGTGGCTCAAGAGTTTAATCCTACCTACTCAGGAGGCTGCAATCTTAGGACTGTGGTTCAAAGCCAGCCTAGGCAGCAAAGTCCATTAGACTCTTATCTTCAATTAAACACTGTAAAGTCAAAAGTGGAGCTGTGTCTCAAGTGGTGGAATGCTAACCTTGAGTAAAAAAAAGCTCAGGAACAGCACCCAGGCCCTGAATTTAAGCCCTAGGACTGACACAGGAAAAAAAGCTAAAAGTAGGATTATTCAGCCATCAAAGGCTAAGGGAGATAGACACCATGTGTCTTTTAAATCATATGCCTATGAAAAGTTTTTGACCCTATAAAATGTTCTCTCTGAATGTAGACTTGAAAGTACTCAAAAACTCTGTTTCTCAAACAGTCCAAGATCTACATACTTCATTTGTGTTCAAATCAAGAATCCTTAAAGTATTCATACTTACTTGGAGGTTCATGGTTAAAATTAAACTGTACTTGAACTAAAAACAATTGGATTGAGATAAGCAATGAATCTGGAAAATCTGATACATATACCTGTTTTGTATTCTTCTAGTGAGCTGAGCTGATATGTGAGAATCAGCTCTTTTGTTTCGAGGTTCTGATATTTTGTGAATATTTAAAGACTTAGGAGGGCCTAGATTGTTACACATATAAATAAGAGTTCCATAAAAAGGAGGGAAAACAAATCTAATTTAATCCATAACTTCCTTTACCTGTTCGGCACTTTGCGTTATATGTAGAGTGCTTGGGGCACAAGTAGATATTTTCAAAGTTGGAGAATGGAGTTCCTGTAGAGAGAGAAAAAATTCAGACATTGTTATTCAGCCAGCATCCTTCGTACATGTTACAATCCTGAAGTATTACTTTCTTTATTTTTATATTAGTAAGTAATAAAAGCATTACATAGTCGTGTGTGTGTGTGTGTGTGTGTGTGTGTGTGTGTGTGTGTGTGAGTAGTGAGTGGGCTTTAAACTCAAAGGCCTTGTGCTCTCGCCTGGGTATTTTATTCAAGGCTGGCACTCCACCACTTTGAGCCACAGCTTCAATCCAGCTTTTTGCTGGATTTCTCCGATTTGTCTGCCTGGGCTGGTTTTGAACATTGATCCTCAGATTTCAGCCTCCTGAGTAGCTAGGATTATAACATAAGCCAATAAGTGTCTGGCAACATAATGCATTTTGTAATGACACCCATCTCTCTGAAAAACTCATGGCTGGCTAATTTTGCAAGCTTTGAAGCAATTTTGCACTTTGGCAGCAGTACTTCATCCTTGTACTGTTAGGTTGTAATATTTTCACTGGTCTCTGAGAAATCTGCTAATACACATCCCAACTTTACTATATACATTCCAATTAGTACATTTTTATCAAGCAAAAATATTAAAAATTTCAAGCTAATACAGGAAACCACCTTTGAAAATTGACTAAACTCTTGCACTTAAATTACTTCAAGCTGACTCAACCATGAGGTTTGTTTGATCTGACTCTAGTTTAATTTCAAGGAGTAAGCTCTAGAATTTAAAAACTGATCCATAAGCCAGGTGCCAGTGGCTCATGCCTGTAATACTAACCTCAGTAGGCTGAGATCTGAGGATCATAGTTCAAAGCCAGCCCAGCAGAAAAGTACCTGGGTGACTCTTATCTCCAATTAACTACTCAAAAGCCAGAAGTGGCATTGTGGCTTAAAATGGTGGAATGCTAACCTTGAGCAAAAGAGCTCAGGGACAGTGTCCAGGCCCTTAGTTCAAGCCAAAAAATAAATAAAACAAAACAAAAAACCTGATCCATAAAAGTGAAAGAATATGGGCTGGGAAGGTGGCTCAGTGGCCAAGTGCTTGCCTTGCATGCATGAGGCCCTGGGTTCAATTCCTCAGCACCACATAAGCAGAAAAAGCTGGAAGTGGCACTGTGGCTCAAGTGGTAGAGCACAAGCTTTGAGCTGAAGAGCTGAGACACCTAGGTCCACAGTTCAGGCCCCACGTCCAGGAAAAAAAAAAGTGAAAGAATATGATTTTAATAATCAGCTAAAATGTTCTCTCTACTAATCATGCTATATTGCTCATATTTCCCCTCATAGCCAAAATGCTACATTACTAATTTAAACAGTTTTGTTTTTCTTTTGTTTTGGGGTGGTGCTAGGGATGAAACCCAGGGCTTCTAACATTAAGCAGCATCTTCAGCTCTAGTGTGCAGGATTGATAAAATTATTCAGTGTTTTCATATTTTATTGTAATTTAGAACCTAGTGACATGAGTCTAGGATATTTTCCCAGAGGAAGAAAAAATTCTAACAAGACAAACATTAAAAATCAGAATCACAAATTTATAAGGAAAACATCATCTCATACACACAAGCCTAACTACAATGTAAGTGTAACGTGATTCTCTCTCCCTTCCTTCCTTCCTTCCTTCCTTCCTTCCTTCCTTCCTTCCTTCCTTCCTTCCTTCCTTCCTTCCTTCCTTCCTTCCTTCCTTCCTTCTTTCCTTCCTTCCTTCTTTCCTTCTCTCCTTCCTTCTCTCCTTCCTTCTATCTTTTTCCATTTTTTGTGGCTCTAGGGCTAGAGTTCAAGGTATCACTCTAGTTATACAGGTGCTGTACTTCTTGAGCCATGCCCCAAAGATAGTTTTCAAATAAGGATCTTGCTTTTTTTTTCTCCAGGCTAGCCTTATATCACAGTCATCCTATGTGTGAGTCCCACATAGCTAGGATTACAGTGAGGCCCATTACTTATTTGTTGAGATGGGGGTCTCATTAACTTTTTGGCCTCAAAGCATCATCCTTCCAAATTTTGCTTTCTGATTAGTTAAGGTTACAAATATGAGCTATCAGGCTCTGCCTTTTCAATTTTATTTATTTTGAGACAATATCTTACTATGCATCCCAGGCTGGCTTGAAGTTGTGATCATTTCTGCCTTGTCCTCCAGAGTGCATTTGGACTACAGATGTGTGCCTCCATGTGTTCTTAATATGAACTTATTCAAAATGTAAAGTCATCTTCATTCATTTTTTGCTGCTACTCAATTTGTTATATTTTGCCCCATTCTCCCACCCCTGGCTACATTACATTACAGCTGTAATGTAGGTTTGGGGTCTCTGAATATGTTCCCAGATTTGAGGATGATACACAAGGATAATCACTTAAACACAGAGAATTACAGAGTATAGACTAAACAATACATATTCTTCCATTTAGGAAAATAATTACCAATAAAACCTTGTACCAGTGGGTGTGGCCCAGTTATCTAAGAGTAGCAGATTCAGGGAGTCAGAAAATAAAGGTGTGAAACTCCAGTGGTGCAATCAGTTAGCACACAGTACTTATAAGAAAAGATAGGGAAACCATGGGACCTATGTTTCTTTGGGCCTGGCTTACTTCACTTAATATAATTTTTTCCAAGTCTTTCCATTTCCTAACAAATGGGGCAATGTCAGTCTTTCTGATGGAGGCATAGAATTCCATTGTGTATATATACCACATTTTCTTGATCCATTCATCTACTGAGGGGCATCTGGGTTGGTTCCATATCTTAGCTATGGTAAATAATGCTGCAATAAACACAGTCTTGCTGTGGTGAGGGGGGGGAGGAGGGGAGGAGGATTCAGTAGGGGTGGGGTGGGGGGAGGCTGGGAAGGGATGGGAAGGAGAAACAAAGGAGGAGGCTACAATGCTTGATAAGAAATGTACTCATTATCTTGCCCATGTAATTGTAACCCCTTTGTACAGAATTTTCGCAATAAAAAAAAGAGACAAAAAGAAAAGAAAGGGCTACTTTATCTATATACATTCTTAACCCAGAATTAACCTTCTTTACATTGAATTTCTATATAAGTATGTATGTATATTTGTTCATTATTCTACAACTCAATGCCAACAGTATCTTTTGTATTACATTCTAGATATGTGTCTTGGTTCATTATTTAAAATTAATAGTATTCCATAATGTTGTTTGGTAGCTAGCTTATTCATTTCCTTACTGATCAAGGTTTCAATATCTTCTAAGTTTCTACTATGATTCCATGAGATTTCTTGTGCAATGTAAGTGATTCTCTGAAATTTCACAAAAAAGAAGGACTGCTGAGGCATAGATTATGCACATTATTTATTTTAACAGCTGCTGCCCAATTGATTTCCCAAAGGGCTATTCCAATTATCCATGTATCAGCAATGCATAAAAGTGATTATGGTTCAAAGTTACAATTAATTCATCTGTTTTTGTCTGGGGAGATACTAGTATCAGTGAGAGAGGACAGTTGTACACACAGGTGGCACCTAAAAGTGTCCTACACATTGTACCGCTCTCCTCCATCTAACCAATTCAAATCTAATTGCATCTGCAAATGAAACATGGTGAACTTTACTAGCCAAGAAGAGCACTAACTTTTATAAGAATTTTAAAAATTTATAAAATTCTCTAAACTTAGGTCTATTAACCCAAATAAGCTCCACAGTGTGTTCATACACAGATTACACATGAACACACTTACTAGTGCCACTATAGGCAAAGTTTATGCAGCCTTTGCGATCATACATATTTAAAGGGAAAATTAGTGTACTTGAACAAAGACTAGAATGGTACTAAAATAATAGATTATTTAATATTTTAATATTTGGAAAGCTGGTACATTAATTGCATACTTGCTTATTTTAGACTATACTTGAGCCTTCATTATTAGCATTAATCGTCTAAACAAACAAGGGTTTTTCCAAACAACTCTCATGGAAATATTGTAAGACACACAGAATACCCTCAAAAAGTAAAACATTAAGATAATAGCTTAATTAGCCAAACAGATGAAGGCACATATTATTGACTAGCATGAGTTTAAAGTACAGCAGTATGAATTTATGTGGAGTATAAGTGGTGAAACCTATCTAAATATAATTTTGAAACAATTGTTAAAATAAAGCCCCACGCCCCCTAGAAGTCTACAGAATTAGGTAAGGTGATGGATGAATGCCTAATATAAGAAGTTACTTTCAGTAACATCTAGCTCTAGAGAGGACTGAAGAAAATTCATCCTGCAAATAGTCATTTGCTCTACTATGGGAAGTATACAATGTAATTGTGAATCAATGGATGTGTATGAGTGTTTAAATACATTAGAATCCAAATTTTTCAATGTCTCTCATCTGTGTATGAGTTACATAAATTTCTGATGTTGAAATCATTAAATTCAATGAACAATGGCTTTTTTGGCTCACTGATCTCTGTAGCTCAGCCTCACATTGCTGGTAATTGAATAATTTAAGTCATGACTAGGGTAGTCTTGCTATCAAGATATAGCAAAAAGATTCCTAGGAAATCAAGAACCCTGGACTTTATTCTTAGTTATACTTCTGTTTAGATGTGTGATATTAGTTTCATGTCATCTCTATGAGCTTTGTTTTCCTCACAGAGAGGTAGGTGAATTAGGAAATCTTTAACTTCATTCTATTTCTGACATACTGTGAATAAAGGAAATTATTTCTTACATTTCCATTTAGACAGGCAATTTGAAATTCTTTTTTTTTTTTTTTTTGTCGGTCATGGGCCTGAATGCTGTCCCTCTGCTGTCCAGCTCAAGGCTAGTGCTCTACTGCTTGAGCCACTGCACCAGTTCTGGTTTTCTGAGTGGTTTATTGGAGATAAGTCTCATGGACTTTCCTATCCAGGCTGGCTTTGAACTGCGATCCTCAGATCTCAGCCTACTGAGTAGCTAGGATTACAGGCATGAGCCACCAGCGTCTGGCTTGAAATTCTTTAAACTTTTTCATCTTTCTTTCCTTTGATGATGACAATGATAACCTAAC